CAATGCCCATGACAGTAGATTGCTTTATTTTATTCTCTTTATCATAGGAAAAGATCATTCTTCTCTTTGACAAAATAGAAAATTTTAGCACTTTCTACCTCCAAATCCCTCATATTAAAGTGATTCTACCGCCAAAACTTTCAAGGTAGATGTGAATCTGGAATGTTTCTTTCAAAGAACTCTACACTGTGCTAAAACAATTTTTTTTTTTTTTTTAACTAGAAGAGATGCTCTACTAACCATTCTAGGGCTGATTTGGTTTCTGTTCCTTTCTAACAACGTTTAATTGACATTAATTTTCTAGAGTGCTAAATAATAAAATGGAATGGACAGAAATTTTTTTGTTCTTGTTTGTTTTCTAATTATTAGTATTTCTAATAATAACATTCTCCTTTTTCTTCTTAATATTATTTTCCCAACAATACAAAACATCTCTGTCTTTTTCTTGGAAGACTATAAGAATCTCATTCACAGTTTTCTTTAGGTTTCTGGGAGACTATTGTCCTGGCTGCTTAAAGAAGAGATTTGGGAATATTCAGCCTTTCTTTGAGGAAAGGGTGAATATTCAAATAACACAAAGACAGCTTTGCCATGCTGGGAATAACAAGCCCGAAAGTGCCAAGAATACAGTATGCTAACTTTGGGATGGCACAGTTTAGGTGTGACAAGAGAATATCAGGCCTAGAGAAAGCAAGAGTCATACAACTATAGCACAGTTCTATTAGCATAAAAACAATCACCTATAAAACTATTAGCATAGTTTTATTAGCATAAAAACAATTACCATGATCTTTGGTATTTGAAAGCTATCTTTAATATTAACTGCTTTCTATTATGTATATATGTAAAAGACTAGCCATCTAATGCACAATTCAGTCTTCTTCGCATACACAAATCTGTGGGATCCTCAACCCAAACCAGTACATTATCATCCTAGGCATAAACTCTATTAGTCCATACCTGCATTCAGTCAGTAAATATTCACTGAGTACCTAAAGAAGAGCAAGGGCTGGTGCTAGGATTAAGCTCAAGCTTAGTTTAGGGGGAGGGGATGGAAGGTGTGAGAGTAAGAAAATGAGGTACTCTGAACAATCCTGTAAAGAATCACAAATAACCCAGGGCAGTATAACATAGTAATAACAGATACAGTATGCTTAGTATGTGCCTGGTACTGTTCTAAGCCTTTTCCATATACCATATATTCTTTTCTTTCTTTTTTTTTTTTTTAAAAAAAAGTTTCATTGAGGTATTATTTAAATACTATCAAATTTAACCATCTTAAGTGTACAGTTTGATAAATAGTAATAAATCTGTTCAGCTATGAAAGCATGGACACACTCAGTTAAAAAAATTTTTTTGTCTTGGTATTAACTTATTTTTACAATCTAGTTTTAGAGTATTTCCTCACTCCAAAAAGTTTCCTCGTGCCCAGAGAGAAGATTTGTAGTCAACATCTTCTCTCTGACTGATCTGTTTCTATCCCACTCCAGCTCTATCTCTATAGTCTGGCCATTTCTAGTAATTTATCCCCATAAAAACTCTTTGTGATAGATACTACTTTTTGTAACTAATTTACAGATAAGGAAAATAAGCCATAGGGGACTTACATGACCTGCCAAGGTCACAACACTAGTATGTGATGGAATGAACATTCATGTCCAGATAATCTAATCCCAGAGTTTTCACCATTATGCTAGTACACTTCTGTAATGTATAGTATGAGAAGTCTGAGGAATTAAGAAATGGGAGAGATCACATCTGGCTATAGGATTAAGGAAGATATGATACAGGTGGTAGAATTTTGATAGGCATGAATAAGGAGCATGAAACTAGTGAAAGCGTTAAATTAAAAACCTCAAGGCTAAATATTTAGTGTATTCAGGAAATATTTATTGAACTCACTACGTCTTTGTACCTTGCTAATCACTTTAAATTATTTTAATGTGTTATCTCATTAATCCTTACAATAGTCCTTTATTGTCCTCATTTTATAGATAAGAAAGTGCAAACTGAAAAGGTCAAGCAGTATGTCCATCACTGCAGGGCTAGTAAGAGCACGGCTGGGTTATGAACGTAGCTGAGGTCTGTTTGAATGTGTGCTGCAAACTCTTAAACGTTGTGCTAGTTGGCCTCAAAAATAAAACAAAGCAGCAGTGATGACAATACAAAAATCAAATTGGTCTTTGGAGACAGAATTCAGAACAGAGAAAAACAAAGAGAATGGAGGCAGGTAAAACAGTTCATTACTACTATTATTGTCTAGGCAGACTCCTGGGGGATGGAAGTGGAAATTAAAATGAGCAAACAGTAACAGAAACAAGGAGAGGGATTTGTGGGAGAGATGAGAGGGGAGAAATGCCTGGTAGTGACAGAATAAATATCTTCTGAGTCATTATCACATCAGGCCTGAACATTAGTCTTATTTTTTCTATTTTGATACTTCTGTCAAAAGTTGAGACAGTTGACATTTGATGGGAACAATTTAAAGAAATTTTAACAGAGGGTCCAAGGACTTCTAATGGGACCCATGAATGTACTTCAGGAATGTATGGAATCTCTATGCCTTAGAGTAAGTTTATTCCTTTTTCTTAATTCTCTAAGCTCTATTCCTTATTCAGTTTCTAAAAAGTTATATATCAGCTTTTAATTACATCCATTCCTTCTACAGAATTTGATTTAATGTTTAGTATACCAATAGTTACATACAGTTATGCATATTCATAGAACTACACATTTCTCTATATTTATGCATACACACGCAGATAATATACACATTTTAAAAATAAAAGTGCTGGTAAGAATATTATCCATTAGGCTGATAAAGTTCATATATAAATGTATATATTTTTATATATGTAAATATATGTGAATATATTTATGTAAATAAACACACACATTTTTGCATACACAGATGGAATTGAACATAATGGATCACGTCCTATTTACATATAGCTGGGTCTGTTGTCTGCTCATCCATCAATCAATATCTCATGATAAGATAACTTCTTAGAATTCAATGTTTAGGAAAACTCTGTCTCTAGGCTCTTTGTTTTATTTTTCAATTTAAAAATAGCTGAGCTATATTATACATTCAGTTTAGTTTAAAGAATAAGTGATAAAGAAAATACCAGTGTGACTTCTTTTCAGATCAAGAAATAACATACTGGCAGCATTGCCACCTGGAAGCATCACCAATATCCATCCCAATTACAACTCTTCTCCCCTCTGAAACAGCAGAAGGCAGCCACTGTTCTCGTATTTATTCCTTTTCTATTCTTTATAGTTTTACCATTTACATATATATCCCCAAAATGTGACTTAGTTTTGTTGCTTTTCAACTTTATAAATATAGAAATATATTATATATATTCTTTTCAAGAATTCTGCTCAATATTATTTCTGTGAGATTTATCTGTGTTGATGTTTACATAGCTGCAGTTTGTTTTCTTTGCTATACAGCATTCTATGCTATGCATTTATGACTTTTTATTCATTCTACTACTGATGGACATTTGGAGTGTTTCTGGTTTGGGGCTATTAAGAATGGTGCTGTGGCAGAGGATGCTAGTTATCCACTCATGCACTCTTCCCTGCTTCCTGGGTATATAGCTAGATTATATTTCCCAATCCCCCTAGTAATTACGTATGATCAGGAGGAAAACTAATGGACATTGCATGTGCCAGTTCGGACTTGTCCTATACAAACCTTCCACATGTACTCTCCCATATCTTTCTTCCTCCTTGCAGACCTACTAACGCAGGGCCAACCAAAAGTTTCCTATAAAGGGTCAGACAGTATATATACTAGGCTTGGTGGGCCATCCAGCTCCTGTTGCAACTATTTGACTCTGTTGTTGTACATGAAAGCAGCTACAGACAATATGTAAAAAATGGAAATGGCTGTGTTCCAATAAAACTTATTTGCAAAAGCAAGCAGTGGTATGGATTTGGCCATGGACCAAGTTTGCCATCCCCTGTGTAATTGCAATGTTCAGGGTGAGCTTGGAAGACACAAAAAGATGACAAAGCCATCATTCTTTGGAGCAAAACTGCTGTCGCCCTGAACTCTTATCCTGGACCATTACATGAGAAAGAAAGAAACTTATTGTTCTTTAAACCATTGATTTTTTTCCCCTGTCCATTTGTTACCATAGTTTAGCCTACTCTAACTGAATACATAGCTATGAACACATTTGTAAGTTAATCATTGTATATATGAGATTCTCTCTATGTACACCTAGAAATGAATTGCTGGGATTCAGGGTATTTGTTCTTTATCTTTAATAAATAATGTCAAACTTTTTCAAAGCTGTTTTTGAAGTTACACTCTGACTATTTCAATAGGTACAGAAAAAAGATTTGATGAAATTCTACACTCACTATGAATAAGAACTATCAGAAAACAAGGTGGGAAATTTTATAACCTGATAAATAGCATTTACAAAAAATCTACAGCTAAAATCATACTTAAAGGTGAAAGACTATCTGCTTTCCCTGTGAGATCAGGGACAAGGCATAAAAGTCCACTTTTACCATTTTATTCTACATTGTAATGAAAGTCTTAGGCAGTATGAAATAAGGGTGAAAAAGCATAAAGATTAGAAAGAAAGTAGTTGTTATGGACTGAGTTATGTCCTCTCCCTGCCAAATTCATATGTTAAAGTTCTAACTCCCAGTTTACATCAGAATGTGACTGTATTTGGAGAGAAAGCTTTATAGAAGTACTTAAGATTAAATGAGGCCATACGGGTGGGCCCTAATCTAATACGACCGGTATCCTTATAAGAAGAGGGAGGTACACCAGGGATGGAAGCTCACAGAGAAAAGGACTTGTGAGGACACAACGAGTAAACAACCATCTCCAGGCCAAGGAGAGAGGCCTCAGTGGGGAACTGCTCGAAAGGAACATGAGGGAACTTTTGTGAATAATGGATTTGTACTACATCTTAACAGACTGGTGGTTACATGGATATATACAATTGTCAAAATTTATCAAACTGTACACTTAAGACCTATGCAATTTTATTGTATATAAATTAAATCTCAATTAGAATAAAAGGAAATGAAAAAAAAACCCAACAGTTTTCTTGACTTTTAAGGCAGTGCTATTTTTAAGACCTTACTCTGTTGATATCTCTTTGACATTATCAATCAATCACCATAAGGACTTTGAAGGGACAAGCACATATATTTCTTAAATCACTAAATCACTGCAGGCACTGAGGTCAAAAGGTTTAACTCATTAGATCTGTTCTGTGGGACAATGGGGCACAGACACAGAGAAAAATCAATATATATAATGTTATATTAATTCTCTCAATAAATATATAGTGAACATCTACCACATATTAATCAATGGTCTAGGAGATGGGGCTACAACAGTGAACATATGGGACACATACTTTAGTGGGAAAAATTTAAAATATAAAAAATATGTAAGTTATATAGTATTTTGAGGCTGGTTTAAGTGACATTATTCCGTACACAGCAACTTCAACTCTCAACGCTAATCTCTTGCATTTGAATTCCTTTTTTGAGTGGACTGGGCAGGACAATTTAATTTACATGTCTGGGTTTATTCATAGCTCTGTACTATGCCTGTGTCTGCGTTCTGTTGATAAAGCCATCAACTTTTAACAGATCTTTTAGTTCAGACTTCTAGGAATCAGAATAATATCTTGTGGTATCCTTACAAATGATTAAACATAAAATCATAATGATGATGCTAATAAAAAAAGAAACATAAATAAATACTCCTTAGAGGCAAGATGGAAATGGTTTTTGTACTTTTGATACTCTGACTTCTTTATTTCTTTAATCATGTCACCCACACTAGTCCATCATGGACTACAAAGAGCACCCACATCACTGCAAGCACAGGTTCACTTAGAGGAACAGCTAAGAGCTTCAGAGATTATTCTTCGATTCAGATGAGTCTAAAATAATCCTCTTCCAGTAAAAGAAAAATGTGTTTGGGAGCCCCTCAGGGAGCCTCTATCAGTGACAGCTGCTGAATGTTATCTAACCTAAAAAAACCCAAAGATAAAATGAAGGGCATGGTCAATACCATCAGGTAAATCCAAATTACTCTAGGTTCAGCCAGTCTTAAACTCAAAGTTTTAAGGAGATGCAGAGATCAATGAAAGAGAAACAAACAGGAAGTAGCTCTAAATGTAGTAGGGGGCTTTGGGATGGCTTTACAGCTTTATGTAGGAATGCGCAGTGACAAACACTGAGGTCTAACATTTCAGTTCTGGAACATGTGCGCTCAGTGGCCTCACAGCCTCTGCTAGTCCATTAGCATAACAGGATAAAAATGCCCTCAGCTTTTAGGGCTACTATGAAAGGGAATCAGTGATGGCTCAGGCAGGGAAGGTTCGAGGCAAGCTGGAAGAGAATAAAAACACCACTGAGTAGGGAGCAAAAAAGAGAAATGGAGACTGGGTATTTCCAGATTTCTGCCTTTAGCTTAAAAGTTGTTGACTCAAGTTTAGATTTTCCTAAGTAATGTCTCCTTGTTCCACATAACTCAATAAAAAGCAACTAAGATAGAGCATTCTAAGCACTGATGATTTAAAAACAATTTATATTTTAAGTGTAATTCTGACAACACCGTAGATATTTTTGCAATCACATGAGATAAGAATCAGGTCTTTCTTACATGTTTAATACCTATAAAGTTGACAGAATGGTGAGAGGGATAGAGACTGATTAATAAAGATTAAAGATTCTATGTAGTACTTAATAATTAAAGGACAACAAAAGAAAAAAAGAATATAAAACAGAAGAAAAGTATGTTAGAAAATTCAGACATGCTAAAGAGGGGAAAGCAATTAAGGAGACACTAAATCAAGCAGTGTAACTTAGGCACTTAGCGCTAGGTCATTGGCCTTATGATAAAAAGGTGTCCAAACCCTCTGCAGCACACCTTGGAAAGTCTGTCTCCTATTTGGTTGGGTGTCACAGCAAATGCCAATGCAATAACTTTGCCCTGTGCTAGAATTTGTGTATACCAGCAGGCTTATAAGCCAAATAACTCAAAGGGGCAACTTCAGCGATCCTAGTGATCAGGTATACCATCATTTTGTTAGTGGTTCCATATTAGAATAAAAGAAAAGAAATATACAAGACAGGCTTTCTTAAGAGTAGAAAAAAGATTAATTCCTATGAATACAGTACCTTAAAAATCTTTTGAAAAAATGAAAAAGTTTCAATTTTTCACATTATAACCACCTCGCCAAAAAAAAAAAAAAAAAAGAATAAAAGAAAAGAAAAGAAATAAAAACCTTAATGAAAAAAATAAAACCATAAGTGAAAACTGTTCCTGAAAACTTTGCAGAATTGTAACAGCTTTCTCTTGGTTAAATTGATTGCTATAGCAACATTATAAAATGACTATTAGGATTCATTGTGCACAACAGAAAGTGCTGAAATGTCAGCAGACTATACAGCAAAAAGTAATGGGTTCTGAACCCCTGTTAGTCAAAAATGATTTTGTTTCAAATTAGAAATTGATTTTTTTTGGACACAAGCCCTTTCCAGGCTTCCGGCTTCTGTAGCTGGGCCCGGGAGAGATTAACCTCCACCACAGCAAGGGCTGGCCTGATGATACCTTTCTCAAAGTACCTTTTCAATGTGGCTGTGGTCTTAACCAGTAACACAAGTTATCTGTCCCTTTGCTATTACACTATATATTTTTTCATTTTGTCATTTTATTTTAGTGCTGACACACAACACAAATTTGTTGACAAGTTAACAGAAGACTATGTTAAGCCTTGCAGTGTAACCACCATACCAATTTTGACTGGTTCTCCACTCTCCAAAGTGCAATGAGTAGAATGCAGGAAGCCAAGGTAAGAGTTTCCCATTTCCGAAGGACTACTAACAGAAAGTAAAGAAGATTCTATCTCAGACACTAAGTCTCCTCAATTTCATTTTTGTTCTTAGTAGTAAAGTCCTTTTTGGCTCTTTGTTTCTTGTACATCTTTTCTGTACAATGAAACTCAGACTTGTTCCATTCTGCCCCAAAATCTTTTCCTTAATAATTCCAGGAGAGATTAAGTCAAAGCCACCTCAGAAACAACCAGAAAACAATTAAATTGAACTGCTCCACTTAACGTTTCACACATTTATAATTTATTTAAAAAAATCTATAACATATACAATAGGAAGAATTACCAGCACTTAAGATGGTTAGACAATATGTGCTTAAGACTTATGAGGTTTCTTTTAGCCACAATGTAGAATTATTCATGATCTTTCTTCCACCTTCTCCATATTTTCAGTTAATTGAAGATTAACCGTAGTTGTTAGGGTTTACTTTCCCGGCAGAGATTTATGTTCAATTTCTTGTCACTTTACTCACTTGTAACATTATTTTATGTCTATGACCACACTTATTGCTGACTAATTCTTACAGTTTTCTGCTTTCAAAAGAGGAATGAATTGGATAGTTTCTCACTGAGTATTCTAAGAGAAATGCTGATGTAACTCACTGATCTAAATGTGCTACCGATGATCTTGCAGGCACATGTCAGTTTGTAATAGACTTAACTCTTGCTCTGGCCTGTAGGGAATCATCTGGAGTTCATGGTTAGCAGCCACCAGCAACTACCTGCCTCCAACAGCTTCTCTTTTTGCTACTATAGATGTTAAGCTTACCTGTTTCTTCCTTTTGACATGTCCACAGGGTATCATCTTCCATATGTGACTGAAATCCAACTGTCTTCTTCTCCCTTCTATTCTCTCCACTGTTGGTGGACTCTTGGTACTTTTTGATGGATGACGATGTTCCAAGCAGCCAGCCATCACATTTAGACTTCGACAAACTGAAAAAGATAAATATAAATGAGCTGCAGAGAGCATAGAAGGGGTACAGATCACACAAAGGCATATAAATTCAGCATAAGTTAAAATGCAATTCATGTAAAAACTTTCTTTTTCTTCTCATTTTTTATTGAGGTATAATTTAAATAATTTACTGAAGGTCTATTTTGTGTCCTGCCATAACAATTTTGGAGAAGAAATGGTCTTTATCCTCAAAAAGCCTCTATCCGGAGTTAGGAAAATGAGACTCAGACCCATGAAATTGCTAATAAAGCCAAAGAGTATGACTAAGAACCAGAATATCCATAGAAGTAAAAAGTATGCTAAAACAAGACCTGCATAACTAAAATGTTTCCAAGTACTAAAAATGAACAGAGATTAAAATATCACCAATTTGCTTCAAAATGCATTTGTTTCTCATTTTCAATTGTTATAGTATTTATTATGTACACAGAGTATATAGGGAGTAGTGCAATAGTGCATGCGAAGTGGTCTTTGTCCTTATATAATTTCATTATAAAGTAGAAAAGGAAACATGGAATAAAAGGAATTTTAATAAAAATAAACACACGTACACATGCTTTTCTCTCTAATAAACTGTGTTCCCACCTTAGCACATTTCCTCTTATAATATTTCATTTTTTAGAAGGCAATGTTCTGATAATGTATCCCTTACTATTCCACCAGCCTCTTTCTTCTAATTTAAGTTCACCATAGACTCATGACACTTCAGTTTTGTCTTTTCCATGCCCGTAAACAATGTGAAAATTAAAGTGAAGAAAAAGAAGACTTTTACTCAAAAGGTAAGATTTTAAAAATTAAGATGCTTAAATTCCCCAGAAACAGAGGTAATCTCTAGACAAGAAAGAGTTGACCATTACTGGATCCATTACTAATCCCACATGGCCCTGGACCAGAATTCAAATCATGTAAACCCACCAAAATCTCTGGGCTTCTGTTTGTATTGATCAGAACTTTTAATTTATTAATAAATTACAATGTTTGCTTACATTGTAATTTATTAATAAAAACCAAGAAATTAAATGGCTTTATATTCAGAGTGATATAAAGAAACAAAAAGTATCAGCAATATCGGTAGCAGTATGGCTTTATATGGACATAATGCAATGTATTACATTTATATATTTTAAAAAAATTTTTTTTATCAGAACCCAGGGATTATTTTCCTTTGTGACCTCATCAGTGGATGTGTTTCTTAGCTCATATCACTTTTATCCATGGGATAGGAAAATAGGAGAATAAAACTACCTCATTGTGATTATAAGATAAATGTACCTGAACCCAGAAGCCCCCAAACCAGGCAAATCCAACAACTATACCCGTCTTGTTCTTAAAGAAAAGTTAATATGACCAAGACTACTTGCTGTCCCCAAATTCATTCATTCTCAGCTCAGGTGAGCTCCCTATACCAACCAGTGCTGATCACTCCCAACACTGATTGCTTCCTGATTCTTTACCCCATTTTATACAGAAGCTTATCTGTACTTTTATTCCTAACATCATCCTAGTAATTCTCTATGTCAAGAGGGACGTGGTTTCTAATTTCCCTGAAATAAAGACAACCATATAAAATTTTCTTCTTTCATTTGCATTTATTTCCATCTTTATCCACCTACTAGTCCTCTCAATATCTCAGAAAAAAATCATACCTTTTATTCATACTCTTGATACCATTTTGACCCATGCCCGCTGTGACTATAGCCTGCCAATCACCTCTTTTTCTTATAACTTACAAACTCCTCCTCTTCTCAACTGGATTCTTTCCTAGGATTACAAGCAAGATCAGACTTTCTATTAAAAATAAAAACCCGAACCTAAAACCAAAATCACTTTTCTTAAGTGGGAAAATATAATAATACTCAGTGTCAGCAAGGGTGTGAAACAAGAGCATTTTAATACAGGACTGGAGGAACTATAAATTGGTATAGCCCTTTTGTGGGTGATTTGTCAATACAAAATAAAAACACACTTATCCTCCCAACAATTCTACTTTTAAGAAGTTATCCTATAGATTTACATAATCAATAACATGAAAATATTTAAAGATGGTCATTGCACGATTATTTAATAGTGAAAAACAAGGCAAATATTCAATAGGAGAATAAGCAAACAAACTATAATATATCCACCATAACAAATAATATTTAGCCATTAAAATGAATTAGGTATGTAGTTCTCGACACTATTGTGAAGAAACTTCATGACATATTATAAAGTAAAACAAATAAGCGGTATGTAATAATAGAATGTATAATATGATATTATTTTTATAAAAATAAAAATATAAATTTTTTTTTAAGTTTTGGATGGATAAAAACCACACCAAAGAAGTAAAAATAGAGTAACTGACGGAAAGACTTTTATAATTAAATTTATATATTTATGAATGCTTTGTTTCATAGGCATGTGCTTTTGTAATTAAAAAACCAAAAACTTTCACCATCTTTTTTACATTACCATCTTTTCCTTCCTTTCTCTGTCAAACTTCTAGGAAAAAAACTGTTTTAACAGACATACCTCCAAAACTATTTTTTAAAGAACAAATGTAATGGCCTTTTCTCTTTCAACAATCTTGCTTGTTACTAGGCCACTTCTCAGAAATTGACTTCATAATATATCATCTTGATTATTTACCTAGTTTTAGGAGGCTTCTACTCAGATTCCTTTACTGGGAACTTTTCTACTTCCTACCCCCTAAATGAAGACATTTCTGAAGATTCTGTCCTGGTCTTTCTTCTCTTCCCTCTTAGTAATTTCTCATTGGCCTTTGCCACACCACTGCATCTTCAATTACAATTTCTAAATAGATTCATCTAGTCCACAGTACTGTTCAAAACCACTGATGTGATCAAATACCTGCTGAAAAGCTGAGAAGGGATGTCTTGCCATACCTCCCAAACCAACTTTTAAAGCAATGTATTATCATTATCTTTAAACTAATTCCCCCACCTGTTTCCATTCTCATTTGAGGATATCACCATTCTCCCTGTCATTCACATGAAAAACTTCAGTTGTTTCAACTTCTAGTTTCCATATTTCTGTTTAATAAACTGACAAATCAATCATTCATTTATCTGTTCATCAGCCATTTATTGAGGATATACTCTATGGCGAGATAATTTGCTATGGAGCTGGGATGGGCAAACATGGAAACAAATATTGAGTACTTGATTTATGCTAGGTGCTGGGTATACAAACATAGGTTCCTTTTCTAAAAGTGATTTTAATGGTGGAGACAGAGATGGAAACAGATCGTTTAAAATATATGATAAATGCTTTAACTCAGGAAAACACAAGTTGTTACAGGACTAGAAAAGTAGAGCACTTAACTCTGTCTGTATAACTGAAGGGAAATTCTTGAAGCATTCAAACTAAATCTTGGCAGTTAAGCAAAAGATAAGAAGGATGGAAGGATGAAAGGCAGAAGAAAACAATATTAGTAAATATATCAACTAGTAAAACTTCATCATATATTTTGGACAAGTTAAAAAGTTTGCTATTGTTATAGCATAAAGTGTGGGGAATAGGGGAGAAGTGGAAGGTGAAGCAGGACAGATAAAGGTGGTTCAGATCATAAAAGATTTGGTTTCCTGTGTCAAGGGCTTGAACTCTATCTTGTAGGCAAGGCAGAGTCACTGAAGGGCTGTAAGTGGAAAAATGACATGATCCAACTTGAATTTATGAAAAATTACTCTGGCACCATTTTGAGAACAGATTGCAAAAAGTTGGATGAGTCAAAAGGCTGCTGAAACAGCTCTGATGAAAGATGATGAGGGTCTGAAATAGAGAAGCAATCGAAGGGATGAAAACGATAGAGCTTTAAAAACACAATTAGTATTTAAAATTGGCAGAACCTGAGGAGCGTTTGAATGCGAAAAGTAAGAGAGAAATGAAATTGAGGATGATTGGCAGAATTCTGGGTAGATAAGCAATATAGAGAAGAAGGTTCGGGGAGGGTAGAAGAAATTAAATGTAACTTGAGGTGCCTCTGCAACATTTGGGAAGATATTTCAAGAAAGCAATTGGATCAATAACTGTCACTTTCTGCTAGTTGGCTGACTGACTTTAGAGTGGTGGGGCTGAGAGAGACAGAACTGAGGAAGTATATGCTTCGCTTTCAATTTTCTTGATGAAGGATAAGGTAAAGTCATTCCTATAAGTGAAAGAAATGGGTATTGAGAAAGGTGAAGATTTGGAGTATGTATTGAGGGAATTCAAGATAAAAATGACCCAAAACAAGAAACCAACTGTTCTGCAATGCTGAATGCCTAACAATCAGAAATCATAAATGTATGTCAGGGTTCAGGTGCACAGATGTGAAAACAGAGAAAGTAGACTGAGAGCTTGCCCCAGGATTAGGATTTTCTTGGGAGGGTGCAGCAGACACAAAGTCAATTCAAGGTTCAAGCTCCAGCACCTTACACAAGTACAGTCCCCAGTCTGAAAGTCCTTCCCACCAGGCATAGGGTCTGATATTCTGTGCTACACTGCCCTCTATGGATCAGACTCTAATACGCCATGATCATATTAATTTTTAGGGTATGATGTGAGATTGAGATCAAGGTTCTTTTTTTTTTTTCTTCCATATCTATATCCAGTATATCCAGAATTATTTATTTAACAGACATGCCTTTTCCACAGAATTGCTTGGTACCTTTGTCAAAAAACAACTGAACATATGAGTATGAGGGTCTATTTCTGGATTCTCTTCTCCTCTACTGATCTATTTATCTGTCTTAAGATGACTACCACCCTGTATTGATTATATAACTTTGATTTACATACCTAAAATTAAGTAGCATAAGTCATTCAATTTATTCTTCAAAATTGCAAAGACCGACTTTGCTATTCTAGGCCCTTTACATTTCCATATAAATTTCAGAATGTTTGCCAATTTCTGTAACAGTTTGCTGGTATTTTGAATGAACTGGCATTGAATCTCAGCTTCAATTTGGAAAAAATTGATATCTTAACAATACTG